TTTTTTTTTTTTTTTTTTTTTTTTTTTTTTCTCGTTTGCGCTTTTGTTGATTGAAATTGCTGGAGATATTGTCGCCCTATGGATAGTCGGAAAATTAATGGATTTGGTTTAGTATTTCTTCTCCTTGGGAGATTGAAGGGGATACTGTATGCACAACTTTCTATTTTGTGATTGTTCTTAGCTAACTTGGAGCTGTGTCATTTATGTTAAAGTTCATCGAGTATCAATGTAGACAGTTTTGTAATTTTCCACATCTAGTTCTGTATTTATGAACACCTTCACTGTTTATAGACAATTTATGTCTTATTTATGAAAATCTTGTTTTGAGGTTTATGTGCTTCATGATTTATAGCCTAAATCGGAAGGATGTTTACGGCGAGGAAGAAGATCCACAAGGATAATGGTGTCGACCCCTCAGAATTTGAGGAAACTGTTGCTCAGGTGAACTTTTAAATTATCTACCGATTGCTAACATTGGCAGTGTTTTGTGTTCGTTTTAACTAATTATTCCTCGTCTCTTTAGGCATTGTTTGATTTGGAAAACACCAACTCCGAGCTTAAAAGTGATCTGAAGGATCTCTACATTAATTCTGCAATGTAAGAAGGATAAACAATAGTTGTTTTTTTTATGGACTCTATCTCGTATGAATTTTATCTTTCATAATTATCTTGCAGTCAAGTTGATGTTTCTGGAAACCGCAAGGCTGTTGTGGTCTATGTCCCATACAGATTGAGGAAGGCCTTTCGCAAGATTTACTTGAGGCTTGTTAGAGAGCTTGAAAAGAAATTCAGTGGAAAGGTGTGGAGAGATATCTTTTTTTCCCTGGTTTGGTTTTATTTCGGTGACTATTTAACTACTCTACTGATTACGACTAGTTAGCATCCTCGACTGAGAAATATTTTAGACCAATTCATAATCGATGAAACAAAAAATCTTGATGTTGCATATCACTTTGGGGGTTGATTTAGCTAATGTACTACCTGTAGCAATGATATTTGATCAGTGTCTATTACTTGTTTACCGCCTTCCGCTTCCTCTAGCAACGTTCTCTAGAATGAGAGAGGGGGCGTGTATGCCTCAAATTAAATAATGTAGATGGACAGACATGAAAAAGGTGATAATTACAATTGAACATGATAATTTGCACCATTAATAAGTTTTAAATAAGCCTTATTCCTTTAGTTGTATTCAATGTCTTTTAAGCCAATGAGGTCAAGTAGTGATGGATTGACTCACTTGGTCCATTACGTTAGTTAGTGAGGGTTATATTTTTTAAGACATATTGACAGTGAGTTACAAAGACAAAGCCTTTGAGCATCCTCAGAGGTTTGAGCCTCCATGATCTGAAAAAGACATAAAATTGTTTTGTGTTGTACATATTTGTCGCCTCTACATTTTCATATTCTATTTATTCATAAACCATTGTTGCTCTATAATAGGATGTAATCCTGATTGCTACTAGAAGGATATTGAGGCCTCCAAAGAAAGGATCAGCAGCTCAGAGGCCCCGTACCCGTACTCTCACTTCTGTGCATGAGGCAATGCTTGAAGACATTGTATTGCCTGCAGAGATTGTTGGCAAGCGTATTAGATACCGTGTTGATGGATCAAAGATCATGAAGGTAATTACGTTTTGACCATTTTGGTAATTAAAATTCTCATAGGTGATCGAGGAAGGTTAGAAAACTGTTTTCGGATTAAACTTTGTGCATGTCTCTTTGCTGTAACACGAGCCATGTCGTGGTCAATGTTCTTGATATTGATATATATATATATATATATATATATGTATTCACTAAAATCTCAACTTATCTAAATTTTGAAAGGTGTTCTTGGACCCGAAAGAACGGAATAACACCGAGTACAAATTGGAGAGCTTTGCTGCTGTTTACAGGAAGCTTTCTGGAAAAGATGTCGTCTTCGAGTACCCAATTACTGAGGCGTAAGACACCTTATATGTTGCACATTTTGGTGGTGTTTGTTTATCATAGGGTTGGAATCAGGTGGGAGCTTTTCAATTTTGATTTCAAGTAATAGATTTTTGAGACCTCGTTTTTTGAATATGTGATCTTGTTGAACCATACTCTTGTCACATTGGATTAATTTTCTGGTTTCAATGACATTCTATCCACTTCTACTTAATTTATTTTTAACCTTCCCATTTCTCCCAACCAAAAATAGAAAACAAAGCAAGCAATTTTTATTTAATTTTTTTCTTTTATAGTGTTCTAAAATTCTCGTATTATTCAACCTGAGCATCTAATCAAGCATTTATATTTGATCATACCTCCACAAGTGCAATTACGGTAATGTACTTTGCTTTTAATTTCTCCAACTTCAATCAATATAATTTTTCAACTCTGAATCAGTAAAAATCAAATTACAGAGTTCTCCTAACTGTTGGATATAAAGAAGACAAGATTTCCATGACAACGTCCGTTCCGTTCTATGAAAAATCCAGGCTGCTCAAGTCGACTTGTTCTTCAATAATAAAAGTAGCTGAACCTGGCCACGTGGTAGAAAAAAACTAGCATTTAGGTGGGCTCTTGACCTTTAGAGTGATAATTGACGCTTTAAACTATTGGGGAGAGGGGGAGGGGGGAGGGTCGTCATTTAGCAAAAACCGAACATACCTCAAGACAAGATCACAAGACCTAGGTACATAGCTCCGCAAAGAAAAATGAAGGATATAAAACCCCTGCATATCGTATTCAATTATAAGCATCGTCCTTCTTCGAATATATTAGTTGAAGGTATGAATCTAAATTCGGGTGGGTGGACTCATTTTAACTCGTGATAATATAAGATACTCACCAAATAATTCC